TCTACTCCTGTTCAGAGATCTACACACCTCCAAATGAAATGAGTCTTCAATACCGTTTTGGGAAAGGACATGGGAGAAGCCCACAGAAACAGAGAGCTATTCAACACAGAGACTGATGACAAGTCCTGACACACAAAAAGAAGTGCTAATTCAATATCCATTAATGAATTAAAGAAAATAATTGCTTGCTTGGATTTTTTTTCTTCTCAGATGTGAAAAAGATTCATTGGGATGACAAGGAGGAGTTCACAATTTAGAATACACCCCAGCTGTGATAACAAAAACCAAGAGACTGTATTACAGCTGATCTTCAGTGTCAACTTTGTTTAAAAGTCAGTTCTCTTGTACATGGAAACTGTGACAAATTACTGCAATACAGGATACAGTGAGACACACAAAAGTAGCTTCATTAGTAAAGTGTGAAGGATTAAGCCCAGTTTGTACAGGGACTCTGTTCTTGGCAATTTTCTTGAAGGTATTTCCACAGCCATAAAGACAAAGTGTCACCTGGACTGCAGAGCAATGCAGTACTTGTATGTCTGCGCTACTCCTGCTAGGAAAGGCCCCCAGGTGCCAACAGACTTGGAACGCTCCCCAAATCACCTCAACAGCAAACAACTTGCGAAATATGCATCCCAGTTAACCTTAACAGTCACTGAAGTCTAGTGACTCAAGACAGCTCCCCTGGCCCCACACCTCTCCCAAAAACCAGAGACAGACATATTCCTCAGGATTGAGATAGAGGTTTCTGAGCCCTGTGGGATCTAGCAACTTCATCTTTACTGAGGCCTAGCAAAAAAAATTAACCCATTGCTTTTGGTCAACAGCCACTTCTGTTTCAACACTAGAGACCACAGTGATTCAAACTTGTTAGGGTCAGCCCCACAGTTTGCAGGAGAACAGCAAAACACTGCAGAAAAAAACCTGTCTGTATAAGCAAAATACTGACACCAGCCCTGCAGTACCAGCATGAATTAAACTATAAATTTCCTTTCAGAGTCTTTGTTTGCCAGCCACATACAAATATGCAAAATTAGACTTGGGATAGGAAGATGTTACTACAGATACACAGGTCATCTCCACAGCCACAGAAAATCAAGTCCTGACCTTCATCTGCTTTGTTTCCACATTTCATGATCAGGCCTCTGGAAGGGTCTTCTACCTTATGAAAATCATTTTGAAGAAGTAAGGAGGCACCACATGGTCTTTTTAGAATACACACTCCAGAACTTCCTCCTGCTACAAAGCAATTCACTCAACAAAATAAGTCAAGGAAAATCCCAGCCATTTTGATCATTTTCAGAAACAGGAACTTGTTACGACCAGCTGCAGACACAACCACCTCACTGGCTTCCAATTCACTTCCCTAAATGAAAGCTTCACAGCCTGTTTCTAAGTGAGATCCTTTATAAAAGGAGCTAAGTTCAGATCTACCTATTTTTCCCCTCATCTATGGCGTATTTTAACATTTGAAAGTCAAGTTATTTCCCTTCTCTGAAAGCTTCTCCCTGTTGATACCATCAGTCACCCCTGTTCTAGGCTGGACCCTGGCTTTTACTTGCCCCACACAATAAAACCCTCAATGAAGCCCTAACATAGCTTTCAGAACAATTCTGATAATGAAGCTTCTATGCTGTGCACTAGGATTGCACTCCCAGTTGAATTACCACAACTCATATATCCGTAACATAGTCCATATATCTCATTCACCCACTCTGCAATGGCCCTTCTCATTGCAGCAAAATCAAGTTGCTAATCCCCACTTCCCCATGGAAATGCTTTCCTCACTTGTATCTAATTGTAATTTATTTAACACAATGTGGTTAGCTGAGGGAGATAAAGTCACCACAATGATATGGCTTCAAGACAAGAAGTTTGTTAAGTCCAAAAGGGTCAGAGCTCTTAATGTGCCAACTGCAATGGCTTGCCCCAAGCCATCAGAGCATCCTAGATTTACATTCCTTTTCTCCCCATAGGTACTTGGGAAGTGCATTTAATGCCATCTGGCACTACTTCCCGCAGTTGCTGGAGATTCACTAGTATGAGAGCTGGAATTCAAGAAAATGGTAAATCTTACTAACGAGTATATGATAGCAACCTAATCATACTTCAGTACCTCTTTACATGCCAAGCCTGTGCAGCACCCATAGTCCATGCCAAAGGACAGCCACTATGCAGCATCCATATTAAAGCCTGCACTTGCAAGCTATGCAAGTACCAAAAACTACACAAAGGTAAACACTTAGCAGCTCAGCTTCTGCTCACAGAAGACATTCATTCTGTTCTCTCCTCCCTTCCTCACACACATGCATTCATACCCAAATCATGCTTTTTATTCCTCAGAGCAATTCCCTCTAAGAAGTACTCACTAAAAAAAACCTAAACCAAACAAAAAAAATACACTCCATGCCTTGTCACCTATCGTCTTTCTATAACCCTCTGGAACTAGCATCTTCTGCAGAAAACATGAGGACAGGCATCATTGTGTCCCATCCTCACAGGACTACTTAACTCATGTTAAATAGTTGATCCCTCCATTTAATTTACAAAGTGCATCTGCTAAGCAGGGCAGTGGAAGATAGGTTGTGTGACACAACACCTGGCCACTAAGACACTAAATAAAATTACAGAGTTCCCTAAGGACATAAAACCCCCACATCAAAACTAGAATTACAGTTCTTCATAAAGCATCGCTCCAACCATCGCTCTCTGGTACCTTAAGTTTTACTCACCTAAATCCTTCGCAACTTGTCTCACCACTTATCTTAAGGCATTGTTTTAGCTTTTGTTCCCTCCTCCATGTCTTCAAACGCTATTTATCCAACTTGAAATGCAGTCAGCCACATGGCTCAGATGTACCTCCACCTAGCAAGCAGTACCTCCTGTCTACATGGGATTATTGCTCTTTCAGAGGAAGAACTTTAATTTACTCTCTCATTACAATACATAAGGCCCATTTTAACACTTGTTCACAAGATACATGTCAGAGTTCAAAGAATTGCCTAAAAGTTCATAGTTCTGAGGAGATGCCTCAGGTTTAAGAGCCTGAGAATATTTCTTCCAAAAGATGAACTTGATTTTCATTTGTAGTCCACAATTTTGAATGTGCGCATCTCCCACTGACAAGATTCTGTCCTTAATGATACCAGTTAAACCCTCAACTGTTACATACAGCTTGGAAAATAGAAGGAAAAATGATCAGGGATATATCTTCCCAGGAAATGATCATTTCTCTTCCTCTTGTGTGTCTTAGATGCAGGTGGGTATGAAATTGTATGGAAGGCTACCGGCTTCAGGCTCTCCCACATTCATTTTCTGAAGTAGTAATATTAGCACCAATATCCAAACACAATCCCTTTCCAGACCTTAATATAGCACTGGTAAATTATTTCTACCTCACTTTAATCCTGCCTGTTCCAGATAGTGCTTTTATTTATATATATATATACACACACACACACACATCTACACATACCTGTGTATGTGTGTATGTGTATATATATTAAAATACACACACAGAGGCACAGCATGCTTTTAAACACATGAGCTAGGGTTTTTTTTTTTAAGCTAAAGCTTCTAGTAAGAGATAGGACTCCAAGGAGGACTGTCCAGACACAGCCTACAGATTAAGAAGTGTCAACAGCTACCAAACAGCAACATAGGAGACATCGATAACCAAGATGGTTGTCTAAAATACATGAGAAAACAAGAGAGAATATATGATAAAGACAGCCGATCTATTTAAGCTACAGTTTAGACTCAAGTCAGTCTTCAATCTATGCTGCTTACGTCAGCATCTCTCAGACATATATACAATAGTATTTCGATATACTGGAAGACCAACAGGCTGTTTGCCACTTTATGTGTTAGCTATGCAGTCATTAGCACTGAAATCTGGAATAATTTTCCAGAAGTAATACTACCTCCTTTTAAGAAATACAGCATCATCAGAATTCTACCTACGTGCACCTGCACCAGCATTACTTAGTAACAGCCAGCACCCAAGAGACTGCTTGGTATGAAACCTGCTGATCTTTACTTGAAAGTGTTTCTTACCATGTCCAAATAAAATTGGGAAAACCACTTAATTTTAGACATTAAAACCTGCTGTTGATCTACTGAGTTCAGTGCCAGACAGAGTTACTACTGGTAAGCAAGGCCAATTAACGTCATGCAATTAAATTCTTTCACCATTGTACTCCTTGGTGTCTCCAAGCAGGGACTGACAGTTGAGTGGGTTGACAAGAAATAAAATTGTCAAGACAAAAACATCACTAGCTCATTGTTTTTTAAGAAACGTTTTGACTTCAGCCTTGTTTCATGCACTAACTAGCTAATGCCAGTCCAGAGTAGATCATAAATCTATGAGACAAAGCCACCAGCCATCTTCAGTGAAACATGATGCAAACCATCAGGTAGCTCCTGAAGTTGCTCTCTGATATTTGGGACCTCAACAACAGCCCTTAAACTCTCCAAAAGCTGTCCCAATCTACAGCGTAGTGTTATCCAACTGCCTTGCCATCTAAGCACGCCACCATCTAAACCTCTTCAGAAGTTTGCTGTGGAGATGGCCACGCTCCTACCGGTGCTTGGCCAGCTCCTGGAGGAGCATTTAGGTCTCTGCCTAGCTTAATCCTGCCCAAAGCAGGCAGTGACAAGCGCGTGTCTGCTCTGCCCCATGTCCAATTCTCTCCCCTTTCTCCAAGGCCCTGCTCTGCCAGGCCCGCTTCGCACGGCCTTCCTGGATGAAAGGCAAGAGGTCATGAGGGGAAAAAAAAAAAAAAAAAAAAAAAAAATGGCCGAAAGAGCGATATTATGCAATAAGAGAAGAAACGCAATAATAACTCATCCTCTCCTGGAGATTTCTCACAACGCTCACGGTTTGCAAGCTGGATTACAGCAAGCGCGACAGCCAGACGGCTCAAAGGCACACTACAGAGCCCCGCGGGCAGCTTCCTCGGCCCCGGGGCTTCACTGGGGAAATGAAGAGGGATGCTCACAGTCCAGGTGCTTCTTCTTGGGCCCCATCACTTCATGCGTGGTGGCTTTGCAGACGGCTCTGGCTACGGCTGATCCCGTAACGCTGTACTGAGCAGCTGCGATGCGATCTGTCAGCGTCTGACCCGACATCTTCGCTGGCGTGCCTGCTGCTGCCTGCTCTGCAGAGGCGGAAAACACGGGAGGGGAAGGGGAGATTCCGG